TTATCGTATTCGTGCGCATTTCTTTTATATCCAAGCTATTTCATTTCTTTTCTCACATACGAATGTATAATTGTGAAGATAAAAAAATGATATCATAATGAATATATCTATATAGCTTTGATCTATAAAAATGTAAAAAATTAATACAGTTTATAACGCATTATTGCTATCATTAATTATTTCCATGTTTGCAATTATCAACTATTGTAATTATGAATACCTTTGTTTTTAAGAAAACATTTTTCCATTTTTATCAACCATCTTCGTTGATGTGTTTCAGCTGCATTGTGCAGTTTCAAGAGCAAGGTGAGACGTTTTCGAGAGGAAGGCATTTTCTGCCTCCATGGGAACCAATTACCCTCCTACCCTCTTATGAGAATGGCCGACCCTCTGGGCGATGGTCGCTGGTATGCGAAAGTCCAATGGGCGCGCGTACATTCGAGAGCCGCTGTGTATACGAGTGCACGCGTGACAACGTAACGCTACGCGTGCATGTAATATGCACGCATTTTAATATATATATATATATATATATATATATATATATATAAACAAACATATTTACGTACGTACGACAATACACACATTACGTATATGTAGTCATGTCCACTCACCACACATTTCTACACAAACGAACTTCTATACGCGTAGATATATAATATATACATGTGCACACAGATATGTACATGTGTGTCCGACTCCTTGGCAATAGAGATTGGAGAGGACAGGAAGGAGAGATGGAGAAAGACGAAAGAGCCGCGTGAGAGAATGAGAGAGAAGCAACAGTGATGGATCGTCCAATCAGTGCCGCGAGATGAAGCACGAGAGAAACGGAGCGAGCGAGGAGGCGAGACCAGAAGAGAATCTTCTCCACCTATGGCACGGTACGCGATGGACGATGAAAAAGAGAGAGACGAAAAGCGACAGAGAGAGGGAGAGGTCATGGTCGGGTCGGTCTCCTGCTAATCGAAGAACACGAGGTGGCCCTGTGGCGCGAGAGAAACTTTACCTCGGCTATTCTCCTTCGCCATCACCTATCGCTGGACCAGCTATTGTGTAACTTGTTCTCGACTAGCAACGTATTCTCTTCCGTGAGGTCTATGATCGTGATCGAGCTTCCCTAATATTATCCAATAGAGTCCCAATTATCTCATATCTTGAAATCACTTACGAAATCCGAATATTTTCTCTTTATCTTGACATCCTTATTTATTAAGAATCTAATTTATTTTATAATAATCGTTATCTTATATTATGTCGATTGTGACATGATATATTATATATCTCTTATTAAACTCAAAAACTAATAAAATATTTAAAAATTAATTGTTATTAACGTACATTAATATAGTTGAGTAAACTTTAAAAAGTTTGAGCAAAACTCAGTATTCAGCTGAATTGTATCGAGTAACAAGACTACGTTTGCTCTTTCCTGGAGGCATCGTGGTATACCAAGGAATGAGACAAACGGAACTGCGGTCGAAAGGGTTGAGACCAAGGGTCGCGAGCCGCGAGGTTGAACATCGCTCAAACTATCGCGCGCAATATAGCGAAGAGATTCTTGGAGATCCGCGTTGCGGAGAAGCTTCGTCGACAAGTGTTTGCGCACGAAATATCTCACGAAAGGATCTCACAATGGCGTACTGTTATCATAACCATGTATAATTAAATGAATATTGGATAATCGTAAACTTTCCGTGTTTCTAACAAGTAAACGTTAATTGCTAATTATAATATTGATAATATTTCCGAAATATGACATCGACGGGCATAAAAAGCATATATCGTATTATGCCAAAAATGTACAAAGCGTGACAACAAATGTATAACTCGAATGATATATCTAGCTACGTCGATTCTTTCATCACCTATAGACATCCGAAATGCACTGTGGGAGAGATTGAAAAATGATTTCCTAGCAACGACGTAGCACGAGCTACGCTACTGTGCGTAGAGTGGCGAAAGAGAGGAAGAGAGCAGAGAGAGGGTGGCTAACAATGGCCGCCAACCAAAACATCCGATAAATCTAACCGGCCCGGACCTCAAGCCCCGAGGGGTTTTAAACTCTCTCACCCCAAACGCCGACGCGGGCGCAACCCTTACATTACGTTACACACTCACGGAAAAGGGAGCCATGCCGTGTGCTATTGCACGGCGATACGGGGAGGGCGGCAAAGGGGTAGTAGCGGGTGTGCACAGTACGGTGGTTCCGCGGGATGGAGACGAGGAGAAGAGAGGGACGTGATGTGCGACCCATGAAAAACCAAACCGAGAGAATTCCACCCGTTCTCCTCCTCTTTCACCTCCGTTTCTCTAGCATCCACCCCATTCCCCGTCTCGGCTAACCTCCTTCTACCAGTAAGCGTAACGAGATCCGCCGTGCGCGAGTGGTCGTGTACCGGCTCTGACGAAATTTCGACGAATTTGTTTTGCTACCGCATCCTAATTCGTTCTGTCCCACCCTATTCGAAGCTGCGGTCGAAATTCCGACTTAACAAATATGCGCTTTAAAATTACGATGGAAACGGTACCTTACTCGAAGAAACTTTCGACAATTATTAAGAATAGAAACGCTGGTCTAAAATATAAAAAGCCTTTCACTTTTAGTGGCGTTAATCTAATCGATCATCATAACTACCGTTAAGGTAGATTCCTCTTCTTAAGGTGATGACAAAGATTATTAGTACAAGAATCGGACTGTAAGAAATATTTTCGAGAACACAACGTATATTTAAAATAATTAGAAGAAAACACGCAATATCAACTACGGATATACCGTTTTAACAGCGTTCTTACAAAATAATACAAAATAATACACAAATAATACACAAGTAATATCGGAAGATGTCTCTGTCATCGCGCTCGTAACAAACGAGCAAGACGGAAATATGCAGTCAGGGAAAACGCGGAGGTACGCTAATGTCGTCGTCGACGTAGAAACTCAACTCTCGCTATGTCGCCATGCAACGTATCGAGAGTTAAACGACGCTTGGAATCTCGAGATTCCTCGACAGTCGTACATAATCAAGCGCGTCTAGGATATTCCGCGCCCGAACTGAATGGCGAACTGCGTTTCCGCGTCGAAGAATGTCAATAGCTTTCAACTATGCATTTAAATGCAGATTTGATGTGTCGTTTGCTTGAAAAAATTAAGATAATTTATAGTTAAAAGTACAAAAAAAAACAAATGCAATAATACGAGTAAAACAAGATGGATTATTTTTTCATCAATATAAATGTAAATTTAATTTACCTCCTTCAAATGAAGCAAGTGACACAGTAGAGAGCTATTTTTCTAAGCACATATAGAACGCATATATTCCTTGTAATTTAGATGTTCTATATCGATCTTAGAAATATAAATCAGACTTTAGAGATTGAACTACGAAAATAAATAAAATTTTATATTACGTGATCGCTCATCGCCATCGAGTACTTTCTACACGCATCGAAATCGACTCGATGCTCCTAAAAATGGAAAATAGGATTCACGGAAGGTTGCGCAAAACGAAGGTGGAAATGAAGGAAAAAAAAAAAAAAAAATCTCTTTCTCTGGAGCAGCGCGTGAGCCCAAGTCCGCGCCCCACCTTTTCTTTCCAGATCGGCTCAAGAGAAGAGGCGTCCGCGCGCGACTGCTTGCTCGCTCCGTGGGCGGAAGGAAGAAGTTCAGATGAGGAGAACGAGGAGGACGAGAGGCCAGAAAGAGGGACAGACAGGTCGGCCTGAGAGAGGAACCCGTGGCTGCCATGGTTACCGTCGCATTCCCGCCTCGCCTCGTTGCCATGGAGATGGCGGCACCCTTTCCCTCACATACTCTCCTCTCTTCTCCTCTCCTCTCTTTTCGCCCTCTCGCTTTCTCTGTTCCACTCACGTGCCGACCGACACTCTCACACTCGTGAAATTCCGTCTTTCTCACTCTTGGGCGCCAATCTTCGCTCCGATGACGACGGGCGGCGTGCTCTCTCGCGCGCTCGCTTCGTTCTTCCTTCACGGAGGGTACTGCTGCTCCACGGAGAGAGGGAAGTCGAAAGAGAGAAACAGATGGAGAAGACAGCCCGCGGACGTGTACGCATGCGTGATACTTGGTCCTTCGCAATATCGAGGCTCGATGCATCTCCGGAATGGTTCGATCACTTATCAAACGCGAGTCACCCTCGCAACCTCGTAATGCACTCTCACGTGATGCTTATCTATGGTGTTCGAGAGAATCTTGATGCCTCTCAAAGAGAGTCGACACGATGTCGTTCACTATATACAAGAATGCGCACGCGTTTGATAACAAACTGAAGAAACGAAAGTCCGGAAGATATCTAGAAATTTTCTTCATAAGAAAACTTTTAATTTACTCGCTATAAATCATTTGGGGAAAAAAAACATCTAGAATTGTTCACATCTTTCATATATTAAATATATTAACGATTCATTCAGATCAAGTTAATATTGTGACTTGCACTTTTTCTTATAACCGGACTTAATTTAGAAATGATAAACAGAGTTTCCGATGAGCTCTTAATAATTCTGTGCGATGCATAGAGTGTTATACCCGCTAATCATCGCCAAGCCGAATCATTCGCGCGCGAAATGAGCGAGGAGTAAGCACTCCGTTTCGTAAACCGCAATTCTGATTGGCCGTCGCGTCATTCGATATCAATATTTATTCAGCGTGGCGAATGCCCGAGGCTGATTAAAACTTGTTTATGCGGCCAACGATTCGCTCCTCCCATTGAACGCACACGAAGTACAGAAATGAAACGTATCGCATCTTTTCCCTTTGCTTTACGCATGGCACTCGTAATAAAAATGATCAAAGATTAATTCGGACAAATAAAAGTGGATTTATGCTCGATTGATATTATTATAAAACTTATAGATAAGACCGTATTTAAAATTAACATAAAAATATAGAAATCATTTTTATAGAAATCATGACACAATCGTATGCAAAATGAAATCATTAATATAGTAACTCTTCATTATTCTGGATTCTGACAATTCTGCTAGATAATTCCGCTCGATTAAAGCGCGCAAGTAATTTGTGCGAAGAACTCGACTTACCGGGACTGCCAAGGAAGACCGACGAATAAAGGACACCACGACGCCCGTCGGTCGTCGTGCGTTGCGCGTCAGGAGGCGAACTCCATTCCCTACGTGGACACCATTTGCCTGAAACATTTTTTTCTCATTAAAATTATTACCATATAATTGTAAAGAAAATAGCTAGCCACGATTTGACAATCGCTATTTGCCATCTACGCTTCAATAAGTACATTTGTACACGATAGTTACGTTAGAAATAGATATCATCGTACATTTTGTATTTCTAGGGAATTAATAAGAAGTGTACTCATTAATCTCCAGCTAACGCTAACGCCGATGACACCCTTCAAATGAATAAAAGCAAAGAAAGCATTGGTGAGCTGGCGATTTAAGATGAAAAAAATTCTTCAATGGATTTGTTTCGAGATAAAATGTCGACGGTTACGACGTCGCAATCAAAATACTGTAAGAAAATCGTGCTGATAACACGAAATAACCTGTTCTCGTGTAAAAATAGATGTTCTCATATCGATCCCCGCACGAAAACGTTATTATGCGAGCCCCGTGGAGAAAAAGTATGCAAAAAGGGTTGATGTGGTGGAAGCAAAAGATTCGTGATTGTCGGCGTCACGACTTCGACCAAGGAGATTCTATCGTACTTTGTTCTATATATACACATACACATACGTCGTTAAAGCACTTTCATTCTTTTTTTCATCAGGTAACATGCGACATTACCTCTATGCGATTTACTTGGCGAAGAATAATCTTACAATTATGCTGATTATAATAATTACTTAAGAGTACGGGAGACCACTTATGCTAAATTGCGTGGTATTCGCTTGACGGTTACACCAGCGCAATATTAATCAATGCCGCCACGTGAACGAAAAAAAAATATTATTTATAAAAATTCATATAAATGTAAAATCAACAGAAACAATACTAATTTTTTATTTATTCTTTACATATATGGCTACACAAAAGTTGAGAGAATTTTCTATCCTCTATCCGATTTATTAAGCGGAGATGCACCACTCGCGGCTGCAGTATTGCAATTTTCCAGATGCGAAAATAGGAAAGGTATCTACTTTATTTCCAGGGAGATCCCGGCTGAATGAGGATACACGGTAAGAAAGGGTGGCGCCGGGGGGATAAGAGTAAGCCGCGGAGCGAAGTAATTTCACACAAGAGAGTAGGGTCTTGCTGGGTGAGAGGAGATCCCGCGGAGCTATAGTCTTATCTCGGAAATATAGCGGGCACATCCCCCTGCGAAAATTATATTCTTGGAAAGCAGAAAATTGCTTCGCTTCAGCCCGTTTCGTATGAACGTGCAGCAGTCCACCGATATTAAGTTCTTGTACGCTTTTGCATGCGATCAAAATGCTGTCGCTTTATCACGGATATCGATAATGTTAATTATCGAATTATCATTACTCGAGACCGAACCCTCTTTAGACTTACCGGCGGTTAATTCTAAATATCATTTTGAAACTTACTTTCAATCGGCAACACGCAATGCAAACTAATGGATTTAAAAACGAATCCAACAATATTGATTATAGTGTACTGAGCGAGAGTATGTTTGATTCTCTTGATTTTGACGGTCACGGCACGTCCCACGTCAATTTCTGGTTAATCGAAATGACAGGGCTGCGTCGGTGATTCGAAAATAATGGTTATTCCGGTACTAGGGACAGTCGGAATCACGTTAATAACAAGAGATTAATGTCCCGGCACCTGCTTGCGAGCAAATTTATCGAGATAAACTTCTCTTCGCCAACGTGTTATACAAGTAAAAGAAACGGTGTAAAATGCAATGATACATGACAAATGTACGCGTACAAATATTTAAAACGTATTGTATCGATTCGATGTGGGATATCTTGCTAGAGAGATCCCGCGTCTTTCCACGCCGCGGATAAGTGAATAAACAATATATCAGGATTATTCAAAGTCATTTGCTCGCATTGCCGCCGACCCATTACGCATCGCCAGGCTATACGTCACAGCCATTTCGAAGTCCTCGGAGGCACAGGTCCTTTGGATACCTGTAGAATCCTAGAATGGAGGTAGGGCGGATAGATGGAGATTTATAGCCGCTAGGAGACAGGGTGTAATCATACACATCGCCCCATCAACTCTGTAACTGTGATTTACCGTGGGAATTCTAAAAAGTTCTAAAGTTTCTACCGTATTTTGACCCGAATTCTCTGAATCTCGGTACAATGGCTACGATTGTCATACGAGTGTAGATTCGACTCAAATCAAGGTGTTATTTATAAATGAATAATTACAAAACGCTAAAATCATTTTAGAATATATAAAATAAACTTTGTAAACAATCTCTTTTAATAAACAAAGAGAGACGAGGGAAGAAAGAAATAATAGATTTGAGACAACATAAGCTAAATCAACACTTTTAAAATCTACATGATGTCGATTTTATCTCTACAGAGAGTAATTGTCGCGCATCTGACAGGTGCAAAATGTTTCTTCGGAAGAAAGATTCGTTAAGTGGCACATCGAGTGAGACGTTTGCTTTGAATGATCACCGTAGCTAAATTGCGGGTTAACTTTGGTCTAACGGGTTCGCGTGTTCGCGACAGTCATGCCACAGGGCCGAGTCATGTATCGAGCAAAGCCCCGGAGAAGTGAGTACGATCGGTGGGAGGTGGATGGACCGTAATACGACAACCACGTCATCTTCGTCTGAAACTGAATTCGTATAGCCACGCGCAACGCAAACTCCCGCTACAGCTTTATTTTTGCGTCCAACAACAGCTGACGGTTATAAATTGGAATGTAACAGTCGGACACGCGACGGACGTCATTTGTCTCTTCTCTGCGTCGACTATGATCCCTCCATGACTAATTTGTTTCGACAATGGCGAGGTTCTTTGAGCCACTTGCATCTTTTATACATCTTTCCGACAACCATTGCAGAATTGTACATGTCTAAATTTCTAAAAATCCTCACTGAATTTAAATATCGTTTTAAAAGATATACGGATTCTAATTATTAGAAAATTATATTTTGGATAATCATCGATTTTCGAGTCTTCCTGATTAAGATAGAGAGATTCAAAGAGGATCTTTGACGTGTCTCTCTCTCTCTCCTCCCCCCCCTCCTTCTCTCCTCCGCTTCTGCCGCTCGCGGAGACCATAGCGGATGTTATAGATAGGATATAGGTACGTACCCAATAACCCCATCACGTCGGGGATGCTTCCTCGGTATAAATAAATCAATATAACTTGCTTCCACCCTTAGACGCCGCCCTCTTTCGCCGTAAGGAAGTGACGTATGAGGCTCGCATCTTCAAGGCGAGGGTTGAGGAGGCCACCCTGTTATTTCACAGTTAGGCTCGTCCCTCTCGCTCCCTTCAAGCTTTCTCCAACCATCTTTCTCGTCGTCTTCCACCATCTAGACCGACCTGTACGTCCCTAGTGTCGCTTCCAAACGTGCACGAGTCCCTCGGGAAGCTTTTGTCCTCGAGCTGTAAGCGACTTCCTGACAGGCCAAGTTTGCACCTGCTCTCCTTTTGGCTCGTTCATGTCTTTCTCTCTCTCTATCTCTCTTTCTTCCTCCATACGCCCTCGACGCCATCTCTTTCACTCGTTATTTCGCGTAGTGGCTCTTTCTTTCTCTCTCACTTCCTCCCCTCCGCGAGATCCGCCTAACCTTACATCGCTCCATACTATCACCACACCATCACCACCCACCAACCTTACCGGCGCGTAATTTATTCGGTATGGGTATCCTCTCTCTTTCTCTCTCTCTTCGGCCGAAGGTAATCCGTAGATCAGCGGGCCGGATAAACCGGGCGTGTCGTTATATACGTTCGTCGAAATTATTTTCGAATAATCCTCGCCGTCGACACCTCAAGCTCACTTATCTTAATTAAAATTACCCTCGCCTCGCGGATCGAGGCGAATCGGATGTTTGCGCGATTTACGGTAATATTGTCGACGGTAAATCGATTCGTTTAAGTGATAAAATTTATGCCCTGCTTTCCATAAAGATGCAAGAAGATTATTCATTATAAAGATGTTTTCACGTGTGAAATTAAAGTAAGTTTTTTAATTCATCTTCTTCGAGCATCAATGTTTTTAAAATATATTAAAATTTCTATCCTCTAAGTTTCTGCAAATAAAAGCGTATAAAAGCAAAGCAAATCGAAGTTAAATATATAGATATATATATAAAGGAACAATTGCGCTTTTTTCGATTGAAATCTAATCGCACGATAAACGATAACGTTCCAAGATTGAGTGGCGTCATGACGCCATTCCTATTTTCCATTTGCGAGCAGAAATATCGTCTTTCTTCGGTAACTAGAGGGCGACGGGCGGAGGTCCGCGGAGGTTCGCAGATGTCGGAGATGCCGAGTGATTAATGACGCCCGATAGACGTAATTTGTTGCGGCTTGCAAACTCGCCGTCTCTCGGTGCGTCTTTCAAATTCAAATTATTGATAAACAGGATGCTGTTTGTAACAGCCGGTACGGGACGATTCCACTAAGTCGGACGACTTCACTAAGCGCAAGCGGTATAGTAATTAATTTCAAACAGCACGTTACATGATTTTCGTTATCTCGAAACGTTGTATCTCGTCTTTTAATTGTACAGAAAATTCTTGCGCATCTAGCGGAAAGAGAAAGTTGTAACATACGCGTGATAACACGTAGCACTTAAGAATTATATTACTCATAAAATCATGCAGACATATTGAACAAAATGAACCACTGAACCTGGCCCTTATCGCAATGAATATAACTACTCCAGTTTCACAAATAATAATATCTATCCTTGTTTATTCGTCAGCACGATTACCATCGGAATGCAAGCAAAAGATTATACAAACACGTCAGATGGAAATACAATAAGATTATATCGGTATTATTTAACTTGAGAAAAGAGAGAATGATTCTCTTATTAACTAAAATAAAAGCAAAGTGATATGGCAGGATCATTTTAATAGTCGTGGAGCCGAGTGTATTTTTCCGTTCGCGCTCGCAAATCGACGCCATCGTTTTGTCCACACACACACAGATGCGCGATTAGCATTAAATACGTAATAGCAAGAAACGGTATAATGAAAACGGTCGAAGGCTCCGCTGGTCAAG